GTTGTAATAAGCTATATTGTAGTTATCTCCTCTAATTTGTTACTTCAGATTGCTGTCTGTCAATTGACCTGTGATCATGATGTCGACAAGAACTTTGAAATATGTAAAGATATGATTGAAAGAGCGAACGCTCGACAGTGCAAAGTACGCATCACCTTGTATATTTCATGTGGCTTCTGATGAACCTCTGCTTAGATGATCTTCTTCCCAGAGTGTTTTGATTTTATTGGTAGAACGAAAGAGGAGAATATCACTATGGCGACGGAAGAAAACGGGCCAATAATGGATCGGTTCAGGTTGTTGAATGACCATCTAAGGGTGTGCACAACAATATGTGTTTTTTGAAATTTGAGGTTCCTGCAGTGTGCGTTAAGTGATTTGAAAACTACCTCTTGAATATTCCATGGGATCTCATCACTTTGCAATCTTTAACATCTTTTCTTCAGATCTCTAGCAAAAACGAGTGGTTTGTGGATCTCTCTGGGAGGTTTACACAATAAGGTGAGCTCTTTTTTGTATTTTTTCTCTCCCACGAAAACACCTCCTTATATCTAGGATGCTTCCGAACCACGTCTTCCATGGAACTCTCATATTGTTATTGATAATGAGGGGAAAACGAAAGCCCTTTATAACAAACTGCATCTTTTCGATCTTGAAATTCCTGGAAAAGTCAGGTTATTGGAAAGCGAATTCAGCAAAAGCGGCAAGCAGGTGTGTCGTAGATTTTAACCATTAGATTGATATTTTATATCTCGCTGCTGGCTTGGCTAGAAAGAGTTAGAAGACAGTTGCCAGGCAGTTGGATCATTGTTTTCTTCTTTCACGATTATACACTATGAGCTATAAAGGAGTTTGATTTGGCAAATGGCAAGCAAGGCGCACCGGACTCAATAATGTCATCTCCAGATAATCACAGCTTTCTTTGCCATAGTCAAGAGTTAGCATCAGGCTATCATGAATACTTTAGTCATCTCATCTGACAGTAACGTCATACGTAATTTCTGTTATTTACTTATTATTCTTAAATTTGACAGTAACGTTACAGAAACGCAATTTCTGTTTTTTACTTATTCTACCTTAAAAACTAAAGCTCAAAGGAAAAGCCAAGATTGAAATTTTGCCTGAACATTGCTTTCAAGAATAACGGAGTCTCAGAAGAAAGTCAAGTATCAATTGGATGGAGGCGTAAATTGCAGAAAGTATATATCGGCTGTGAAGAATATTTTGTCTTTATCCTAGCATATGTTTTATTGCTAGCTTCTGAACAAAACAGGCAGCCCCGCTTGATTATCCATTACTAATTTTGCAATCGCTGAGTCATGCCCAAGTTTATCTACCGACTATCTCGATACCTAGGTGCGCAGTTTAGATGGTCCAGCCGATTGACACACCAATTGGACGATTAGGTCTTTCTATTTGCTACGACCTGCGGTTTCCAGAGCTTTCACTTTGGAATAGGCAAAAAGGTGCTGAAATTCTTACTTTCCCTTCTGCTTTCACCGTCAATACCGGATATGCTCATTGGGAGGTGCGTACTTGATATCAGCGAGATACGTTCTTTTGTGCACGTCTTTGTAGTCACTGCTACGAGCCCGTGCTATAGAAACTCAATGTTATGTGGTAGCGGCTGCCCAAACAGGAAAGCACAATGAAAAGCGATCTTCCTACGGACATTCTATGGTTGTCGATCCATGGGGAGCTATCGTTGCTCAGTGTTCGGAGCGAGTGGGTAAGCAGCTGCAGAATGTTTCCAATTCTGCATTTGTTCTTCCATGGTCCTCCTAGATATGTGTTTTGCTGAAATCGACATTTCTTACGTCTCCGAGTTACGCAAAATGCAACCTGTGTTTGCCCATAGGCGATGTGACCTCTACACTTTGCATGTAAACGAAATCGATAATGGTAGGGATTATAAGTGTACACACGCCTAATCTTTTAGGTGATTTACTGCTGAGCTTTTCCGTTACAGACAATGCCCCGATGAAGTTTTCTGAACATCCTATTGCTGCAGAGACGATTTTCTATAGATCTGCTCTTTCTTTTGCATTTGTCAACCTCAAGCCGGTGCTGAATGGACGTTCGTATATAGCTATTTCTATAGACGCAGCTTTCTTCTTTACTTTATTATAGATGTACTGGTATGTCCGAAACGCATTTGCCATCACCTCACGGATCTGACAGATGCTGAAACGGCCGATTTGTTTATAGTTGCGAAGAAAGTACAGCGAATGTTGGAGAAGGCAAGTTCACCTTTTGAAAGTGATGCTGATAAATTATAAGCCTTGTGCAAATATGGCCTGTTCTTTTGAGCCCGACCCACAGATGCTTTTTGCGCCGCCTTAGAGATGATTATACAGGGTCGACATTAGAGAACATTAGGTTCTCCCTCTCAGACCTTTCTTTATTAGATCTCTTACAATGGTCTAATGAAAAAACGCAGGCAAAACGAGAGAAGTAAGAAGCGAGGCTAAATTGCCAATACGGTTTCATCCATAGCTGACGATGGGAGGTATGGCGGGCGCTGGCGCCGACCTCTTTGGCTTTCTCTGACGTCAAGAGGCGTCAAAATGGGTGCATTTTGGGTACGAGTTTGACCTGAAAATCTACACTTCTGTAACTACAAACAGAGCCACTGACGAGCAAAAGGTTGATATGTTGACGTTGAATTAACAAGTGTAGTGTAAGTTTGACCCAATGGTTAGTAGTAATGTCTACATCCTGAAGGCTTGTTTTAGGCAACTGCAGTTAATAAAGGAGTATCGCAGTACAAGGTCACACTTACTAGAAGGATACCATTCATATTCTGTATTCTTTTGCTTAATTGTAGATTCTCCTATTTCAACAAGTCCACAATTGTCACCGTGGAACCTATTTTGATTACCTCAAATTCCTACTGATAGCAAACTGAATTTCCTCTTTTTTTTCTCGATTTTATTAATCGAAAGAAAACTGTTAGAGATTGGAAAAGCGCATAAAAATCGCCGCTTAACGCAGTGAGAAGTCCATCCATAGAGACTTCCAGCAGTGTTGATTGCGCTGACGCTGGCGATCGCCTTAGGAAGCCTGCCGACGCCTTAGGAAGCCGGCATCGTCAGCTATGGCGGGTCACAATCGCGATGGCGTCAAACGTGAGCGGAAGCCGCGTCATACCGCGGTAATCAATGCGCACCTTATGCGTAGAAGCCATCGCAAGCTATGGCTACCAATCGTCAGCTATGGATGGAGCCGTAGTTCTAGAGGTAGCGTCATCGTATCGTCAGAGGTAATCGCTGCGTGTGGCACGCATTTGTGTCTGCTGCGGCAAACGCACCTGGTTGAAGGTTAGAAGAATAGACTGTATGCTTGGATAAAACTTTTTGTTTGCTGTTTGAAGTTTCAATAAAGCATTTCACGAATGTTTGTATAAGACTAACTTTCTCCCCCTCTTCTCGCACCGCGCCAAGCAGCTTGAAGGCAGCCACTAGCGCTATTGCCTTTCAGCCGCTTGTCGCGATACGTGAAGAGCTGCATAACTTACAAGGAAAGCTTTTTACTCGAAGTGGTCATTTAAAACAAGATATATACCATAACAACAAGTTGGGCGTAGGAAACTCAAGTCTGTCTTCTATATCTGCGAAACGGTTTTCTGGAAGAAGATATGGGAACTTGTTTCCATGAGGCCCACCTACAGTAAGGTGTACTTGTGGGCCAAGAATGAGGTTATGGAGTGGCGCAGTGGTAAGTGTCCTGCTTTGCAAATGTGCGATGCAGGTTTGAGTCCTTCCGTCGCCAAATACGTTGCACTTTTTTTTGCAATAATGTATATGTTTGATAT